CTTTATATACAGAGCGAGGGAGAGAGGTGTAGTGGTTAGAATGTTTGACTGGGACTCAGGTGATCTGTGCTCTAGTCCTCAGCCATGAACCTCACTGGGTAACATGGGGCCAGTCATGGATTTTCAGTCTTACAGGGCTGCTGTGAATGTAAAATGGAGAAGATGAGGGATATATAAACCTCACTGAGTTCCCGGCAGTTAAAAAAGTGAGACATAATATAACTACATAAGTAATTACGGTATGTACCAACCATCAGAATCAGTTTAGGTCCTGATTTGGTGCTTCGAAAAACAGCCCAATCCAATTTAGACTGGTTTGGAAGCTGCTGAATTTGACTTGATCCAAGCCTGGAGCAAGTTTCAGAATGAAGCTTTGTGCCTCCCACGGACTGCCCTGAACCTTCAGAGACTTCAAAGGCCAGGGGCTTTGTTGCTGAGCTGCTTAATTTTTTTTTAAAGAAAAATGCTTATAACTTCATTGTTGCTGATCAAATTAGAGGACCCTTTGAGGAGCGACAAGCTGGCAAGGAACACTTTGCTAAATTTCAGACAAGGGTGCAAGGGTTCCATTTCTCCTGCTTGCTTGTTTGGTGCATGTGTGTGTGGGGGGGCAGCTTCTGAGTTCTGGAGTAGTGAAGGAAATCTTTGATCTCGCCCTATCGTTTGGTGGGCGATTGTTCTGAAAGCTGCCCCTTCTTAAGAACCCTGCCAAATGACCAACTGATTACGTGTCATAGATTTTCTGCTCGAGCCATAGAAGATGATTTTGGGTGCGAAGAGATATAAAGCTTGATTCCAAGTAAAACCTCCACAACTGAGGCCCAAAGTGTGTGTGTGTGTGTGAGATGAATTGTGGAAAGAAATATCTAGTGCTAACACTCACACTGATCTTCACCTCTTAAAACCTGTCAGTAATTTTCTCCTCCTCTGCAGAACTCTGCTGAAATGGTCCCCTTAATTTCTCTGCTAACAAATAGAGCATGGAGAATTTGCGGGGCCATCAGTATGCAGCTCTGTCATTCGAAAAGGCATTCTTCTCCCTCACACAAGAGAGAATGTCTCTGCTAAGATGACTGGAAGATATGGCCGTTCTCCATTTGCTCCATTTCACTTCCATGCAGCTTCAAAGTAAGGTCATTCACTTGCAAATTGTCTCTTGCTTGAAATATAATGTAAGGGTAAAGATTTTCCATTGATGTTACATCCAGTCATGCCCGACTCTAGGGGGCACTGCTCACCTCTGTTTCCTTGCCGAGGGAGCCAGCATTTGTCCGCGGACAGTCTCCGTGGCCATGTGGCCGGCATGACTAAACACCGAGGTGCAAGGAACGCTGTTACCTTCCCACCGAAGTGGTACCTTTTCATCTACTTGCATTTATATGCTTTCGAACTGCAAGGTTGGCAGGAGCTGAGACGGAGCAACGGGAACTCACCCCGTTGTGCAGGTTCGAACCGGCGACCTTTCAATCCACCAGCCCAGCAGCTCAGCGGTTTAAACCACTGTGCCACCTGGAGCCCCTACTTGAAATATAAGTTGCACTATTAAGAAATACTTAAGTCTTTGAGACTGGGACTCTCCGCCTACCAAGACCCATCGGCCACAAACCATGCAGAGCGGAAGGAAGTGCACAGACTTCGCCAAACTTGCCATTCTCCTCTGCAAAATTCCCTGTTCACTGGGCCTCTGCGCTACTTGGACTGCTGTGTGTTGTGGGGGCAGAAGTAGGGCCTGGGAGACCTGTGGATGGAGAAGAGCCCCCCACTTCTCCTGACGCACCACTTCCGGTCACTGGGAAGATTTCAGGAAGAGAGGAGCCAGGATCAGCTTGCTCCTCCAAGGCTGGAGCAGGGCCTTGAAGCTCCACGTCCACTCCAGAGTCTTTCTAGCAGGGATCTTATAACGGTGGGGTATTTGGGACGGGACATGCAATGTCGTGGGACTGTAGAGGCAGCATGCATGGCAGCGGTGCAGCCGAGGAGTTCAACTGTGGCCATCCCTCCTTACGAACCTCGGGGACGGTCTGTACAGCAGTGCTCTCGCATTTCGGTTCACTGTTGAATCTTGGCATGCAAGTCTTTTGACCCGTCTTTTTGCTTACGCAGTTCGATAACGAGCTGCACCCATGGAGAATTTTTGCCAGTGCGTTCAGTAGAAACATCAAAGTGAGAGATTTGCGTTTCCAGAATGCTTATTAAAAACGAAAGGGCAAAAGTTTTCAAATAGATTGTGCTGTGCGGCTAATCTGCAAGGTTTACTTCAACCATCCAAGAAAAACAGTTGTGGGGAAAGAAAGGGGAAGGAAAGGGGGGTGCGCTTGATTTGCAACAGGTTTGGGGGATTATTTTGCAAATGTTGCAATTACATAGTGAGAGTCTGAATCCAGAGTGGTTCATCACCTTGAAGGTGGTGTCATGGATGAGCAAATTCCAAAGATTTCAATTTAATTTTGAAATTTGCATCTCTGGGGAAAAAAAATAAACAGCATCCATCAAAACTCCTAGGGCCCAAACTGGCCAAGCTTTTGCACAAATCTCATTTGGTTCAGTAAAACCTTGAAAAAGAATTCCCCAGGTGACAAACTTCACAGTCTTTATAGAACCAGGATGCATTTTACTTCTGCCTGACATGTCTTAGTACCTCTTGATCTAATTGCAAGTATCCTTGTCCAGTTCTTTGTTTGCTTCCTTTCTCACTTCTCAATCCTTCATTCCTTGGAAATTATCGGTGGCCTTGATCAAGGGTGCAACCTTATGCAAGTCTAGATAGAAAAAAGTAGGACTGTTTGGCCTAACCGTGCATAGAAATACGCCTGGTGGCCTTAATTCTCAATTCCCATCAGTGTATTTTGATGATTTGTTTGAGTTTGATAAGAATTGATCGAAATTCTTTGATCCAAAATTGAGCACAGTTGAGCTTTGATAAGAATTGATCAAAATTCACAAAGTTTCCCATATCTGAGACAAAAAGAACTTGAGACTGAAAAAACCATGTGTGGGAGAAACCAAAAACGAGCGCTGTGGGGCTTTTAGTGCTTTGCAGCTCCACCTGTGCATTGGAATCCCTGGATATTCAACCACATTTGCATGGAATTCGGGTTGCTACATTGTTCTGTGGACGGGCAGCCGGTGCAGCTTGGTCTCCTCTGTGCCGCGAATTGCCGAGCCTGCAGAATTTGGCTGGTGCAGATGAGCGAGAATTTCAGTTCTGGATTTAGCATGATTTGCAAAGCACATCACACTCAGCAAAGAATGAAACTGAGATTTACCAGATACAAATGTGGTGGAAGTGTAACAGACAAATTCAGCCATCGCTGTGCCCAGTGGTGCAAGGGGAGAATAAGATTGGCATGCCTAAAAGGGCAGTTGTGCTGGTCCCACAAACCTGTCTTTACATACGCCAGGGTGTGGTGGAAGCATGTTGGGGTGACAGAATATAATGCACTGTGTCTGCCTGCAGGTGAGGAAGGGTCAGGTGTTTCCTGATGTTCAAATCCGATGACTCAATTCAGAGAGAAAACCAGCACCGCTGTAAGAAGGCCGGACTAACTCCTTTCTCCCTGGTGACCTTGTCTTTGGAGAGAACCTGTTGGAAGTGGCTCGGTCCATTCCTTAGGACCAGCACTTGGTACAAAGCTGGCCCATCCTAATATCCCATGAAGGGCCCTCCAAAGCACCTTCCACAAAGTCATCTTCTCCACAGGACTGGTTTCACCTCGCCCTGGCCTGCATTCTTTTTCTCCCTGTTGTTTGCCTCTTATTTTTCATCCTCATCACCTGATTACAGGTCCTCCCATTACAAATGTCCTCTACCTCTCACCCTGTCTCCCACAAATAACTCACCTTCCGTGTTGGGCTGGAGACCAACATTTTTCTCTGTCGTTGTTGAGCATTCCAAAGCTCTGAGCTGCGTCAAGCAGCTGCCCTTAAAACAAACACACACCGAAAATATAAAAATCAACCTGCCAGAAAAATGGCTTTATTCTTCACCCCTGAAATGATTTTGGCTCTAGGCCCAAGACCAGCAATGTTCAGTTTTGGACCAATTACAGGTGTCTGCTCCAATATGCCATAACTCATCAGTCTTATAAATATCTCCTTCATGCTATTGAAAGAGGGAGACTCCTGGTATTTGAGGAGAACACAGGGGCTCAATGTGAGCCTATGCCTGGCAGAGCGGTGGTGGGTTTCGTTGAACGCGGGATCCAGGAGCGGCTTCTGAAGGAAGTGCTTCTTCACACTGTACATAAACCATGGAATCTGCTAGCACACGGTGCAGAGGCCAAGGGGTGGCTTTCAAGGGGCTTAGAAAAATTCATGTAGGAAGAGTTCCAGCATCACGAGCATCATAGCTCTGTGGAACAGTTCCTGGATAACAGAAGCCAGAGGGACCCACGGCATTCATGTTCCGCGTGTGAGCTTCCTGGGGCATCTGGGTTATCGTGGAGGAACAGAGCAATGGGCAAGAGATGCCTTTGGTCTGATTCAGGATGGCTTTCCGTAGGTCTCCATGGTGGCAATTCTGGTTAATTTAATTCAGCAGGAATGGGTGAGTGGATTAGATCAGCACGTGAGTAAATGAAATCTCAGTTCCATTGTAATAAATCAGTAACAGATCTCAGTTAAATCTCAGTTACAATCTCAGTTAAATCTCAGTTCCATTGTAACAAATCAGTAACAAATCTCAGTTACAATCTGTTAGTTCTCAGTTACATTATACTAAAACTGTTACATTGGACTGTGTGACAGTGATGAGGGGATTATTCCTTGTCCCCAAGTCCCAGAAGCTGCTGGAGAACTCCAGCCTCTTGAGACAAGGGGTCCCCCACCAAAGTACTTGGGATCACACCTGCTTTCATTACTGTTGCTATATGAGCCCAAGGTTTGTGTTCCAACATCTGTAGCTGTCAGCTCTGAACCATGAGCCTTCTGTATTTGCTTCACCCTGATGCATAATGCATTTGATTTTGTTTCACCTGCTTTCCTCTCCCCCTTTGTAACAGAGCATTGGCTGTGATGACTATCTTGGCTCCGACAAGGTGGTGGACAAATGCGGGATCTGCGGAGGGGACAACACCGCTTGCAAAGTTGTCTCGGGAGTCTTCAAGCACACCTTGACCAACCTCGGGTACCACAAAATAGTTGAGATACCAGAGGGGGCAACTAAAATTAACATCACGGAGATGGCAAAGAGCAACAACTACTTAGGTAAGTTCTGTTTCCTTCCGGAAGGAAACTTAATGTCAGAGGCTAGAAGCTACCTGACCACTAACATCAAGAAGAGAGGTTCTGAGGATGGCAACAAAAGATGGGGCCTTTTTCATGGTGCCCACTCCCCAGGTGTAGGATGCTCTAAGGGTGCCATCTTTTGAGCAACAGCATGAGATGCTCCTCTCTTCCTAGCTATTTCATGGGCTTCTTAATGCATCACCTGGATTGCTTACAAACATGTATCGCAAGTGCTCTCTGCACCCGAATGGGCGTTGCAAGCTTCTGTTGCAAATAACATTCACGGGTCGCTCATCCTTTACTTCCCTGCCCCATTTTGCAATCTGTGCATTGCGATGACATTTATTTTTAGCCCAAAACAGCCAGAAAAATAAATGTAATTCGTAATTTATGAATCGAGCTACATTTACAACCACAATTCAGAAGGGATTCTCGCGCAGTGTACAAAGCTCTATAAAAAGGCAGTATGAGGGTGGAGATCAGGCCCCGGGTCTGGGGCAGGCATGGCTGGGCACCCCCTGAAGGCCCGCATCCTAGCAGAAGTCCGTGGCCCCCTGGACCTGCTCCTTCTCTTCCCTGCTGCGGCTTGCCTGAGCACAGCCTTTCACCTTGGCCTGGACAAGGTGGTGCGTGAGAAGGCAGGTCCCCCGCTTCTCCCACTCACAGGCTCCCCGCTGGCCGAGCCAGCCTGTGATGGGAAAGAGAGCAAAGACTAACATCTCCTAGCGGTGGCCCCCATGGAGAGAGGGACCCAAGGTGGGTGTACTGCCCGGGGGCTCCCCAAGCAGAGAGATGCTACAGGCAGGGGTCAAATAGCAAACCAAGAGGCGCAAGTGCCACTAGAGCAGCAAGCAGCCAAACAGCAACACAACTCAGTCCCGTTTGGTGTGTGTGTTTACAGATTTCGGTTAGTGTGTTAAAGAGTGCTGGACAAAAGGAAATATATGGCACTGACAAAGGGCAGCCCCACTGGTATCTCTTGAGAAAATGGCGTTTGGTATGTGGTGTGTAGTCCGTACAGAGGTGTGTAGATGTGTCTGGTGACTTATTCCCATACTAATCTGTGTAGTTCCCAGATTAGTATGGGAATAAGTCACCAGAGTTCTGAGCGGACACAAGGAAGAGGCTGACCCTCCATCTCTGGGGACGCTGGGCATTACTGTGCTTTCCTTCTACAGATGCGCAGCGCTAGCTGAAAAGGTCTTTGTGAAGTGGCTTCCACAAAAAATACGGTTGCAGTGCAAAGTGGGAATTCTCAGTTTCATTGTATAGATCAGCTGTATTGTTATCTGCATTGTGTATGTAATGCAGCAGAAAACCAACTCTCCCCACCCCCCCCCTCTCACAGACACACACACACACAGCCCACAGCCGATCGCAACTTGTGCAAACAGGAAATACGGCCTGCCTTAATGGTGCAAGCAAAGTCCTGGCTTTCAGCTGGGTGGAAGAGCAGCCATGAGAACATTTGGTTTTGGGGTTGGTGTGGGAGAAGAGATGCATTTGGTGCACTAGAGGCCCCTGAGTGGGACCATCAGCTTTAAAGGGAATCATATGTGACAGGTTTCTTTTTTTAAAACACGCACATCCACCTTGGCATTGGCACGGGCAAAGTTACAGGAACTCTGGAGACTGCTGAACTTCTGGGAAAGCGGAGGCACCTTCTGTTCCCATACATGGGCCTGATTCTTTTTTTAGGACAGACATGATGCTGTTTTCTGGCATCGTTCCTTTCGTGAAATGCCACAGCATGCTTACATCAAGGCCAGTCTTAAACAAATAAAACTGGGACCTGCAACTATCTTTGAACTCAAGGAAAAGAATATTGTGCTTTCTAATCCAATGGCCATTCCCGTGAACTGGTCCAGAAATCTGAGCTTTTTATTTATTTATTTATTTATTTAGCAAACTTATATGCCGCACGATTCGCCGAAGCCTCGGGGCGGCTTACAAACATAAATAAAATCGTCAACACAATTAAATATAAAATTGGAGACATCCTGGCCAATGTTACGGACATCCCTCCTGTTCTCTTGTCTCTGGAACTGTACAGGGTGAGAGGGTCTCAGAGCCCCCGCTCCAGTCCAAACCCCCGTGTCGAGGCGAACATGCATGGCTCATCTGGAACGCCTCATGTCCACTTCTGTCGTGACCATCGTGCTAAGCCGGATCCTTCTCTCAGCGTTGGCCAATCAGCCCTTCCATCTACTGTCCAGCTGAAGAGGTCCTGTCCTCCCAGGTCCAAACATCCCCTCTTTTTGCAGGGTTACATCTGACTTCTAGTCAGATGGGGATAAACAAGAGATGTTCAAGATGGCCAGGATTCTCTGAATAGGGTTCCATGGCCCTTCATAGGTTGGATCCCCCGTTTTGTGTTTGCACCTCGCTCTAGCAAAATGGCACAACGGAGCAGTGACTGAAAGTGAGACTTGCTCCGATCGCCCGTTTGTCCTCCAGCAACACCACCTGGAGGATCACTGGCTGGCCAACTCCACCCCAATATATCTCAGATGCAGGTTAAACCAGCCAGTTTGCTCTTTCAAAAGTAGAAGGAACTTGGATGTTGCTGTTGTTATTGCATTAATCTTGGTTTTGGTGCTTTTCTTGTCTCAACTTGAGAAGGGATTTGCAGATGCAATATTTTAATCAGGTTGGGATTTTGCAGTTTGTCTGATCACAATGCATTTGTAGGTTACCTTGTTTGTTTGGGGTTGGTGGTTTAAAAGTCCTAACCTGCCCAAAGGGTGGAGCAGGATGAAAACACACAAACTGCACAATAAGACTCACCTCTTGCAATGGCAGCTTGTCTAACATATTTTGCATGAGGTTCTTGGTGTTGCATAGCAAAGGCTGAATTGATGCCTGAGACAATACTGTGGAGTTCTTCCAATTAATGCTTCATTAATCACAAATAGACCATAAAACTAACACACAGGAATGTATTTATCCCAAAATGTTAAATCCATCTCCTTGTCTGGCCAAGTGATAGTTATTTAAATTCAAAGTGTATTTTCCAGTTCTGGAATTGAGATTTTGGCTCCTCACCTTTGAATTCTGTTATGGGAAATTATGCTTTTCTAAAGCTCCTTGGGATAAGAGTTCACAGTTTATATTCTAATCCTTTATGTACACAAGAATGCTGCCTATTATCTGACCGATTCAGTGTTCAGTTATTACGCTGAAAGTTTATTCTTAGCAGATTTTTCTTTCGTTAAATATTGATTGACATCTCATATAGTATATCTGAATCAAATGAAGTGTATTGGAAGGCACAGTGTCAGGAATCTGAACATTTATATTCAAAGTTCCATGACTGCATTTGTACATTTGAGATTGATTCAACTTGGACTGATTGGTAGCTCATGCTGTCGCTACCTTTTAGAAACCTTTGGATGTGTGTAATTAACAGCTGTTGTGTTGTTTTGCTTTCAACTGTATTTTCCAAGTGTGGTGCTAGAGAGCATTCCCAGAATTCCCAGTGCCTGCTGCACCAAGCTCAGTGGAACTTTCCCCACATTGCAGCTTGAGCAGTTCAGCCCTTAGGAACACACAGGCTGGTGGTGGGAAGCATGGAACTGCAAGGTCTTCCTTGGGTCCCTGAGCAGGGCTGTTGCCGAGCGTAGGCATACCTGGGCATCTCCCAAACAGGTACCCATGGACAAAGGGTGGGGTCACTCATCCTCTTCCCTGGCGTAAGCCACTTATTCAACCAAGATGCTGCCGTCTTTTTCCTCCCAGCTCTTGGCCGTCAAAGCAGCAAGCAGTGAAGAGAAAGAGAGGATGGCGAATGAGCAGCTGCTGACAATGGGGTGAGAAGACAGACTTGTTGCGGGAGGGGGTTGTTGATGGTGGCTTGTCCCATACCACATCAACAACCTCCTTAAATATTGCGTCAGCACATTGCCGCCTCCTCCAGAGATTCAGCAGGGTAAACTCCACGCCCAGAGCTCCCTCCGAGACAAGTGAAGGAGAAAAACAAGCCTGTTAGGGCACTTGCTTGCTTCCTCGTAGCATTTTTATTCTTTACTTTTGCTAGTTATTCGTTATATTTCTATGCTCCCTATCGCGAGGCTCTAATGTGTTGGGAAAGGTGGCTTCCAATACACAGATTTTGTTCCATGTGTGTTCTGAAGATGGCCAGGCGTCTTTTGTTTTGTCACTCAATCAGATTTTCTTCATAGATGTATAAGGATTTTGTTCTACTGACACTCATTCACTAGCATTGGTATATTAGCATTGATGTATATTAGTGCAGTTGGGAATTTGCATGAACGCCCACCCAAAAGTAAAAGATCCGTCTGCTGGGCTGCAAAAACTGCAGCTTGGATTTGCATAAATCAGAACTTACTTGAATCCAGTGCAGGTTTACCTGGTATCCTTCCAAAAACTGTAAACTAAAAGAAACCAGTCCTGTTAACCATGAGATTTGGACCAGACCTCATTTTATACATCATGAAGTCAGTAATTTTGCTTAATCAATTCTGCTAGAAATCTGTTGTTAGTTCTGAGACCTTTCCCTGCAGACTTTACATTCTGCCTGGACCTGAGCCTAACCTAGCTTTGAATTGCCTTCGGACTTCAACGTAGGTCTGGAAGTCTTCAGCAGCAAACATGTAGCCTGGAAGAAAGAGGACCTTGACCTACTCTGGCAGAGAATCTTTCCTCATGTGCTGGATCCAGAACACTTGGACAATATCCCACACTGCCACTTTGTCCAAAAGATAGGCAGCCCATTGCAGGAAGATCAGTTTTGGTAGATCCAATCAAGCTACCAAGCTGCATGTGAGTAATTCAAGATCAGGAGGAGAAGAGAAGATAATGCTGAATTATTCTGCGATATGGCAGAAATACTGGCATTCTGCTAGGAGTTACGCTCTATTTTTGCCTTACCATTCTCCCCACAGAATCCTGTTGTTGGTGTTGTTGTTGTTGTTGTTGCTTTCAAGGGGGAAGACCCCAGTCTCCATGTCCCTTGCACG